ATACAAGCAAGTGAAGATGCCAAGTTCATGTTGGCACGATGTGCAAGTGTCAAATTTATGTCTCAATTTTTTTTTTTTTTTTACGGCAACGAGACGGAACTTATTACAAACGTGCCAAACAAGCGTGAGCAAAAAGCGGCATGATTACAGCTGCTGCTGATCCGTTTCGATCGGCGACACTTTTGCAGTTGTCCAACGATTCCGTCAAACAACTGCAAAGTACGATAGCTGTGCGTTGCTTGATGCAAAATATTAGATTTTACGGTGCTGAATATTTCCGAGTTATGCTTATCTTGTCGGTAGACGTGAGGTCCCCTAACGATTGAATGTAAAGTGTGCACCCACAGACTGTGTCCCTCCGAATCGAATGAAAATGTTGCCTATTGGATGGGATTATGTATCACACATACTCTGCCATAACTCCACAGACCCTTAGAAATGAAAGCACCAGGCATAAAAAGATCCAAGTGTATTTACGCTATCGCATAACGTGTGTCACACCAACAGCAGCTCAACGCTCGCGTGATTCGCCGTCACTGTGGCATCATTGTCGTTTTTGCACCTCCTCCTGGAACATATCTGAGGATTTTCACACCTTTTTTGCTTCCGCTCTCAATTCCACTCTCGCGCCCAATTCATATTTCCTTCTACAACGAGGCTCCCTAGTGCGCTGTTAACTGAAAGTCATGTCCTTAGGACCTGCTGCAAACTTTCCGAGGTCTAGCCTTGGCGTGCAGGTTTGTCTGCTTAGATGGTCATGCGCATGTGCCGGCACAACGAGGTAGGTTTCAGCTACAGCCACTGTCAAAGTGAGAACAGTCTCTCTTCAAACGCATGGCCTCCAGCATGTGCTCGTTGCTTATGAAAGCATACTCTGGCTGTGTGTGCGTGCTCAAAGCAGTGGGAGGTTCCCACCAGCAGCTGTTGCAGCATATACTGTAAAACCCTTAATGTACACGAGCCCTTAATTTTTGCGAATATCGCAAATTGAAAAATTTGCGAAACTTAAAGGCACGCGAAAATTTCTGTCTTCAAGAATTTCAATGCAGGTATCTGGAATTCGCGAACTTTAGTGGCCGCGATATGTCCTCTGTGGCCAATTCGCGAAAAATATGGGCCCCGAAAATGAAGGGTTTTGCAGTAATAATAGAACAAAAAAAAATACAGAATGTGGTTCGCGACATTCGGACGCACAACCTCTTTACCTGCCCAGAAATGACGCCAGAATGCCACCATTCTAACCACTACTCCGTTAAATATTTTGTTGCATTCATTTCTAATAGCAAACATTCTTACTGATCGCTTACTGCAACCTTTCCATCCTTCTTTCATCTCCCCATCCTCGTCCCTAACTGAGTGCAGCCAACCGAAGCAGGCCACCTTGGTTTGCCACTCTGTTTTCTCCTCCTGCTCTTGTCTTCTTTGTTTCTGCGAGCTGAGGGTATGGTTGCTGCTACTGTCACACACAAACATTTTTTTAGTCGTATTCATCACAAAATTACTTCAGAGGAGGAAATAAACATGCAGGAGTCACAAAGTAAAGCCTCAAGATTCAAAACCAAGACTTTACAAAGGAAACTAGTAAATTATTATATGACCCAGAAGATTCAAGTGGGTCCACGCAATAGACCTTATTCATTATTAGCGCATACTATCGAGCTTCTGCGCCATCTTTGCAGCTTCCCCACAGTCTTTGATCTGCTTATAGTGTCCTGCGCGCTGGTCCCTACGCTGTTGTTTACTCGGACAGCAGCAGTGGCGCTAGATACATCAAAATAAATTATATTAGCAAGCCTGGATCAGGCAGTTGCATTGGTTGTGTTCAGAATGACCGAAACAACGCCAACGACATAGTAAATCGGAAAAGTGTTTGCCACACACAAAGTAACAAGCAATGCAAGAGGTAGCCCTGTGAAACAAACATGAGCCAAGAGTTTTCCTGGTGTCTTTGTCGCTGCTGTCCTTTTGGTTGGTGTGGACGCTACCGACACAAATGTGTGAATCAGAATTTACCATCTATTAAAAGAGTGGTGGGCAGTGCCACATATCAAGAGGATTTGGCAGAGTCCACGGTAGAAGCAGACAGCGTGGGCTTTGCCATTTTGCAACTTAGATAAGAGCAGCCAAACACAATTATTTAAAAATTCGCTATTGAAAAGAAGAGTGATCCGTGTATTTACTTTGGTTGGTTTCCTATTTCCCTGTTGGTTGCACAGTGAGACACAGCAGTTGTACGGCATCACTTGCAGAGTGGCACTCTTCCCGTGGCCACAAACGTTGGTCGCCATGTTTGAGGCTACGGAAGGAGGTTGGCACAACTTCCAACAGATGGCAAGCAAATCTGAATAAGGTCTATTCAAAATGCTCCTTCACAATAACGCTCGTCTAGCCAACATGGCAGTCCTTAATGCCAATGTCTTCCGCTTTTGGATAAAGGGCCGTTCACACACTTGCAATCCTTTAGAACCGGGTGCCTTCAAACCTCTTAACATCTCTTACAACAAGGGGACACACTGGCGCCATCTATTGGGTAGCATTGTAAACTTGGCGGTCCGGCATATTTTCTATTTCTCTCGCGCATTATCTTTTCTTTCTTGGCTCGAAAAACTTTTGTCAACGTTATAAATGAGCCTTTCTCATAGGTATTACGCACATTTGACCTCGGAAATTCCGCAAAACCTTCACTTTTGTGAAATGTAGTTCCAGGGTGAACGCATAGATGGCGCCAGAGTGCCAGTGTCTCTCTCGTCCTAAGAAATTTTAAGAGGTTCCAACAGATCTCGTGTCTCTCGGTTGTACTCAATTGCAAGAGTGTGAACAAGCCTTAAGTGCTTGTATCGGTCACAGTACCCTCAACTGCCACCGTTGCTTTTTCTTCATAGCACGATCAGATCAAGACGGGCAAATTCTTTGTTTACAGCAACAGATTTTTGACATCCAACCAAGGTGCAGATGGTTTTGCTTTCTAAAAACAGGCTCATATGCTTGCACGGTCCCGACAGGCCCTGTGTGCAAGCATAAACAATCACACTAGCAGCACTGTTGCAAATATGCATAGGCACCCTGTTAGAAGTGCACACGCTAAAACTAAATGCATTCAGTGAGAAACATCCGTGCACGTGTAATGTTGCCACTGGCAGTAGCCACGTCACGGCAAGTGCATCTGTGGTCTTTATTGACAACCACCAAGATGGCAACTATGACCGCCCCATTCTTAGTGGTGGCGTTGGACTTCTGGGAAATCGACGAGGAGGGCAACAAGAGAGGCGACGAAGGCGCCGACAGCACTGTGGGCAGGGGCCCGCGGCCCATACCAATGGTAGAATAGACAAAAAGAAGAGTGGACTACTGGAGGAAGAAAAAAACAGATAAATTTGGCTAGATCCAGTACGCTGGGATCCCCCAATACAAGGGGGTTAGCCGCATATCCAAATCCAAAGCAAAAGACTAAGAATGGGGCGATTACAATTTCGACCAGCCTAGGAAGAGTGAAGGGAAATTATTCAGAAAAAATTGAATAACGTACAACTTAAACAGCGGGGGGCAGGATGGACAGAGGAAAGTTGAAACTTGAAACTTCTTCCTGCGTGGCTCTGGCCCTAAGTCTCAACCCTCTCTCCCAGTGGGCCCAATGCTAAGGTAACGCCAATTAGGTTTGACTAGAGGAAAATTGCCGACTCCCTTGCCAAGGGGAAGAGGTGGGGCGTGATGTTTTTAGTCTTTGTGCCTGATCCTCCGAAGGTCATCCTGATGATATTCCACATGACCTGGTAATAGTTACAAAATTGCAGAGTTGCAGAGGGGAAGCAAATTGGCTTAGAAGGCCTAAGGGAGGAATCATGCTTCTGGTTTTTGGTTTCTAGGTTAGGTGGCACAAGCTACCGCCCATTATAAAGGGTACAGCTATCAGCATCCATCCATCCATACACCCAGCGTAACATCCCATGCAAGGCTTTGATACACGGAAGAGACTGTGCATGCTGTTTAGGACTTGCAGGAATTAAAAATAAAAATTGTCTATCACCCCAGGCCTCTTCCATCGTCTCCAACAAAGTTGGATCAATAGGAGGCCTGTTGCTGCCATGGTATCTCCAACCATGACTTGGCACTTTAAAAAACGACTCTCGCAAACGAGCGCTGTAACTGACAAAGACAACACAGAATAAAGCAGTCATAAGATGGAGCTTCCCCAAGTCGACACATTAGCGATGGCCAGGGATTCGGAAGTTCCAGGAAGCACGTTAAACCCCCGCCATCAGTCCAATTTTGTGCCGATCGTGCACATCGCAGGAGACAGCCAAGGGGACTAATCAAGGGGTCAAACTTCTTAAGCGCGATGACAATAGACAGCGCCAAATTATCTCCGCCCTCCTTATCTCGGAGCGGCTCCGCGTTTTATTATCAAAGGCGTCATCTTCCGCGACGACGAGCGTGCTCGCGGCACGATGTCAACGCAAAAGAAACGGCGCAGCTGCGTAACCCCATAACGACAAAAGAATCCAGCGAGTTTACATAAATATTCCGCTCCGTACTTTTCCACCTCATCGAAGACGCCGAGAAAACGGAACGAGGGAGAGAGATCGCGAGCCTCCCAGGCAAAATGTGACCGTATTAAAGAGAAAAATTACGAGAACGATTAGCTGGAGAACAATCTACGTTCTAGATCAGCGGGTCACGATAAATTGAGATGATGTGCGGAGGAACCTGCGTGAGACACAAACAAAAGTCTACTCCTAAAAAAAACAAAGAAGTTATATTTAAATGTTTACACGATGGAATGCGTCTCATTTTTCGGGGGTATTAGTCACTAGACGAGGCAACCGGCTGGTGAAATAAAAACGGGACATTTCACCGATGTATCGGGATATGGTTGATTCAACAGCTGCGTTCAAGACTGTCTTCGTCGTTTCGTTGTATCAGACTCAGGCGTACGATTATTTCCATGTGCACCGAGACGAAGTGACTGCTAGTGAACGGAGTGACTAGGCGTGATCGTTTACCTGTATGCCAAAGTCATGCACTCGAAGAGTTTGGTCAGCGAACCGTCGATCGCGATCGGACACGGATGCTTGTTGGCCAACTTGTCCACATCCATGATGCAGTCCGTCTCGAAGTCCAGCTCCTCGCTGGTTTCGTCCAGGGGTGTCGTCAGGAGGTTTGGCGCGTCAGCGGCGCCGTCGGTTTCGCTGGCGCGCGCCACTTCGTCAGTCGCGTCGGCATCGTCGATGTCCGATACCATGAAGTGTCCGCTGTGAATGATCTCGGCGGGGGGCTTGCGGGAGAGCCTCGCCAGTTCGTCCGCTTCAAGGGACATGGTCCCGCAGTTCAACTGCATACTGCTCGCCGTCATCACTCGTTGCTAGTGAAGGAGTACGGGGTGAACGAACGCGATCGTTCGGCACTGCACATATTTAGCTTTCCAGCTGGCGCGTACGCCGCTAGCACTACGCGCCATACTTGTTTTTGTGTTTCGCTTCGTCGTCGCTGGGGGGCACTCTTCCGTTTCCCGAAAATTTTGGTAACAATTTGTTTTAAATTATGTAGTGTTCGTCAAGCAGAAAGTTGTTTACGGTTGTTTATTTGTGATTTTTGATCATAAAGAAGCTTGCGTGCAGCTTCACCGAAAGGAAAACGTTCAGAGGACGTTCGAAGGGTTCAGTTTCAGTTCTTTTTTGGTCGGTGGTTCTCTCGGTTCTGTCGTTTTTGATTTGCTATCTGTGCTTGAGCAATTCCCAAGAGAGTAATCATAAGAAGAAAAAAAAGTCAGTTTTCTAAATATTCGCTTTTTCACACTATCACTTTTATTTGTCAACTTGTCACCATCTTTGGTTGCTTTGGTTTAGTCAACGTAAACTGCGTAAACGACAACAACATTGAGCCACACAACACAAGAAGCGATTTGTATTTTTTTTTTCTTCAGTTTCTTAATTTGATTTTAATTGTTGAGTGCGCGAAGTGGTTGCTTTAAAAGAACGTTCTTCAGTCTCACTGCCACTGTTCCGAACCTATTCATCGACGATCCACTCTTTCCATGCGAACGTGACATAAAAACTGTAAAAACCTAGTAGAAGAGAGCGACAGGTTCTCGCAGGATTCTTTTCCGTTTCGCTAGTAGGAAAGGCTTCGGACAGCAGCAATTCATCATGCCCAAGTAACAAAAGCCAAGAGCCAGTCGTTATGACGTCCTTAGGTGCTTTAGAGGCTTTGGAGAACGCATGTTCGAGGAAAGCAGTCTACGATACGCTGAGCAAAATCCGTCGTGTGAGTATTTCACCTCCGCGCGTATGTTTGATTTGTGTGGCGTCAGCTGGAATGTTAGCGCGGGAACTGGACTCGCTGTCAAAGCGGCTACAAAGGGCGCCACAGCTGATCTCATTGGCTTTTCGTCTTCCGTCACTAGGAACTGGAGGAGCTGAGAACAAAGTGTGGGCACGTAGATAACAAGGACAAACTGAGGCGATTGAAGGAACGATGCGAGAGGCAGATGGAAGAAATTGCACATTTGAAAGAGTTGCAACAGGTAAGTGCGAGCTGCAGTCATAAGTGTAAAACGAGCGTGTTAGTAACAGTATCTACTATGAGGTGGATACATGAGAATTGTTGTCCGTCCCCTTTTCTGTGTTGCGTTCCTAACAGTCGTAACCTTTCGTTTGTCTAAATGACCTGCACCGACGGTGTTTTGTCTTCCGTTCAGGGGGCCTACTGACCTCGAGCGTCCTCTCTGTTCAATTTTATTTGTGTTCAGTGGCGTCACTAGGGTCAGCGGCATCCGGGGCGGTCGCCCACCGCGACCTCGCCTTTCTCTACCCTGCGCACACTCTCTACTCTACCCCTGAGCACTGCCAATCCCCCCCCCCCCCCCCCCCCCCCTTCCCTCCCTCCCACCCTTCTATTAAGGCTACTGTTTGTGTTACAGAGATAATATAAGCGGCACTTTCAGGGCAGCAGCATTTGTGCAGTCGGATGCGTTTTGCTGCTGCTGGCATGGCGGGTGCTTGGCTGTTGTGTGGGGCAATTGCCAAGCAGTTAAGAACTGTCAGCTATACAAAATGAATCTACCATTTCTAAGTAGGAGGTTCTGGTATGAAAATGCTTGATCACATGCTCGAACGAGTGCAGGCACTCCTTTGGCCAAACAAGGTAGATTCTGTTGCGTCCATTGAGCTGCAATGTTTCTTGTGTGCCTGTTGTCACTTCATCTTAAAGGAGCTTCCTCCCTCTCTTTCCTAATGGCACTTATTGTTTCATCCTGAGAATCCTCAAACTTAGTTTTCCACCAGGCGGCACCAGTTATTTTGAAAATGGTTGATTGCTAAGGTGCACAATGTGTAAACCAACATACCCTTAAATGCAAAATTTCGTTTGCACAAACATACAAAACTGTGGCCCTTTGTCAAATTAATTAAATACAAAGCCCCCATATATACCAAAGTTTACATATGTATTTTTTATTTGGTAGTTGTAGCAACAAGTATTTAGTAATCAAGAATGCTTTTACCTGAGATGGATTGCAACTTGCACCATCACAACAACCGGTGCACAGCTCAACCATCCTGAAACCCCCGTGGTGGGTTTCGGTTTCAGACTGGTGGCAGCAGATAACATCCGTTTGCTCTCCAGATGCCTAGTGCCTGTTTAGTGCAGTTTTGTAAAATTTCGGTTGAAAGCATAATTTATTACTTAATAAACCTTCTCCATCTTGGGGACTTTTTGTAATATAATTATCATCATCAACTATCAAGCTTCAACATGTTTGATAATTCACGAAGGTGTTCTTTCCTGTTTGAGGCTAGAATGAAAATGTTAACGACAAAGGCATACAGGGCTAAATTTCAAGAGATGTGTGCCATATTCCACATTCTGTGCCATGTGCCATAGTGAGAGCGAGACACTAGAACATGTGGCTTTGAAATGCACCGGACTTTGTCATGCCCTTCTGGGAAGGTAACAGGCATGGCGGATTCTCTGGGTTTCGTTAATGAGGATGGAAGAACAGAGGATCGAAAAAGGGATTACAGTCACAAAGAGGAAGTTAGAAGATTGGTGAAAAAGGTCTAGGGAACAGTGATATTTCCCGCAATCGGTATGTTAGATGTTCTAATGAGGCACGGAATAGGGAAGGAATGTAAATGTTTCTAGGCTAGGCGGCACTAGGTACTGTCTGTTACAAAGGCTCAATATCATCCATCCATCCATCCAGCTAATGGTGTTGCATATAATCATTAATTGCCACAGGAATCGGAGGAGCGGATAAAGCTGCTTACCAGCCTCCTCTGCGTGCAAGCCGACGGGTCGGGGGATGCAACCCTTGATTTGCCCAAAGAGCACTCTGGTCAACATTGGAGCACACAGGTAAAAGCTAGAGCCATCCTGTTTATGGTGTAAGCATCTGGCATGTGTAAGCTTCTTTAGTTACACAGTTCGAGCTAGAAGACTTTGGGGAAAATATGTCCCTTTAGGGGTTGTCAGATGACTACAGTGCTCAAATGAGAATCTTGTATCGAGTTTGTTTGACTGCAGTTGTCCCTACGCATGCTCAGTTACAGATGTCGGCAAGTTTGTCTCTGCCAGACCCCTGCAAGTTCCTCTGCTTTCAGTTTGTTTCTGTGTCAACACTCGCATGCACTGAGAGAATTGGAAGTGCACCAGAAAGGAGACCTGTCGTGGCATTGCTCGGGTTGCCCATGCAGTGATGTGATTGCTGCACCAATTGTGCCAAACTGCACCAAGGGGTTAACCCTGATACATCCTGCTACATTTTGCCCAAATATGGGTAATCTGCGCCAAGCCTGCGCCAAAGGATCAATTTTGGTCGCATTTCAAAAGCGAAACTAAACTGAGTACCGCAATTGAGCATAGTGGTTTTTCCTGCCGCCTCCCGCGCTCTCGTCGTCTCGCATTGCGCCTATTTAAAATTTTTGTACCGATAGACGCATGCGTGTGCGTACGCTCAGACGCTAGCGTGCCGGGCACCAGCCATGCCGTCATGTTGTGAAACGAAACCACGTTTTTGCGCGGCGGGAGTTACTTTGTGAGCTGAAGCACCCGCTCCTGAAAGCAACGGCCGTGGGAAATCTATTATTGGTCCCTGCGTGGCTGCATGACATTGGGTGCTGCTGTCCCCACATCGCTGCAGGTATGGTGCTTTTTAAACTGAAACGTAAGGACCGCCGCAAGGTCATGAACATTCCTGTTCTTGTTTAAATCATACGCTACTACAAAAATACCTCCTTAACTGAAAGACTGATGTGTCGAAGTATTGATTACCCAGGTTTCTCTCGGTGGGCTTTCTTTTGAGAGGGACCCCGGAACGTGAAAAGTCTGCCGCGAAAGAAACTTGGTGAAGAGATGTGAGCTAAAACAAAGAAGGCAATGTCAGCACGCTGAACCCGCACAGTGCGCTTGTTTGTGTCGAGTTCAATCGTTGCACAAAGCGCTCCAAGAACTTTTTAACCCTGACTCGCGATGTCTTTCATCGATGCGCTCAGGTTCTTTTTTTCTGTGTGTTTAGCTTTTACCTCGCCTGCCGGCCTGGCAAGCTTGCGCCGCTGGACTGTTTTTTGTCGTATGCTGGACCGTTACTTTTTGCATACAATTTTGGAAACAGTTGGCGATGGAGCGGAGTGGCATAGTTTTGATTTCGATCGAACTGCCGTCTCCGCTCGTGCGACGAAGCACGTACAACTGCAAGCTGCCAAAGTTGCCCTCACGTGCATGCGAACATGATTGTACGACAGAGGGGCCAGCCGGGACGCTTGCAATTCATTGCCTTACGTTTGCTTGCTTTTGACGAAAGTCTGGCACGTTGCGGGAACCAGTAAAACGGTGGCAAGCGGTTTTTCGGAATCGCTCGGCAACGTAATCAGCACTGTACATTTGTGGGATGTCTCAATGTCTCTTTGGAGACATTGAAAGTGGACATTCATTACTAGCCGAAGGCAAAGCTAGGCTTGCAGCAGCCTTGCAGAAAGTTTCGAAAATCAAAAGGAAAAGTACACGCTAGTCGTACTGCACCTCTTTTTTTTTTTTGTGTGCAGTTTCGCATATCACTGCAGTAGTTATGTGTTTCATCAGTCAGAGAGTGCTTCCAATTTATTATATTATACTGGGTGATTCAAAGAGTGGCCAGGCTCTTTAAATCGACCACAAAATCCGGTTTCTTAACCTATCGCGCAACGACTTTGTGCAGCGTTGCCCACAGATGGTGCATTTTTTTTTGTAAAATTAGCAAAGAGCAAACTTACCTGTGGAAAAAGTAGAGAAAGAAAAAGGCTTAGCTCCTATGGAAACGCAGCGAAACCACCGGTCTTCAAACAATATGGCGCCGTTTCGCACGGGAGACAAGAGATGGCGCAAGCGGTCGCGATGCCGATTGCTGCCAACGAATGAGCATACAGTGCCAAAAGCCGGCGTCTTTAGCAGACAATATTTTCCAGTCAAAAGTGGCGCGCGTTCTGCAGGTGGCGACAGAACCAGACTCGGTAACAAAAAGGAACTGCAAAGCAGACGACATCAGTACCCCGAAAAAAACAGTCAAAATATCCTGAAAAACCATTTTTTAATCGATTATGTGTCCATTCAATATGTTTTATTGGTAAGGACGATAAAATAATGCATTGGCAACTAATACAGAAATGCTCGCGCAATTTTTGAGTCGAAAAGATTGTCTGCTGAAGACGCCGGCTCTCGGCGCTGTACGCTCCTTCGTTGGCGGCAGTTGGCGTCACGACCGCCTGCGCCATCTCTTGTCTCCCATGCGAAACGGCGCCGTATTGTTTGAAGATCGGTGGCTTCGCTACGTTTCCATAGGAGCTAAGCCTTTTTCTTTCTTTACTTTTTTCTCAGGTCAGTACGCTCTTTGCAAATTTCACAAAAAAGAAATGCACCATCTGTGGGCAACGCTGCACAAAGTCATAGCGCGATAGGTTAAGAAACCAAATTTAGCGGTCAATTTAAAGAGCCAGGCCGCTCCTTGAATCACCCAGTCTAACTAGTCAACCTTATGCATTGATATTTACTACTAAGCTGGTCATTTTCAAATACATTTAATATGTGCAGTTTGAGTCTTAGTTGTCTATAATAATAATAATGCTAAGAGGAAGAAAACGACGGGCTGTCTCGGCGCCACGGGCACGAGCGAGGGGCTCGCCCCGGTGGCGGTCAGTTTGGAATTAAAAAGCCAAACCACAAACGGACGCCTCCTTGCTTGGTCCCAGAACGACGCAACATACTTGGTGGAGGTGCAGGGTACCTCGTGTCCCAATCGCTGCGATCTCGGTTGTCGTATCGGTTTTCGTTGAGGTCATATGAAACTGGCCGTCGTGACGCGTAGACAAGTCGAGATGTGTCCCACTGGCGACGGTTACAGTAGCGTGCAACATGTCCCTGGATGCCACAATAGAAACAAATAGGGCGCCGAGTGGGTTGTAGATACTGCTGGTGCCAACCGCGATCCCCGTCGTTGTTACGCTGAGTAGGATATCTTGGCTGCTCGACAGGCTGATTGAAAGAATTCTGGTGGTAGCGAGTCGCCATTGACTTGCTCGGTCCGTTTCCTAAATCGTTCTCAGGCAACCGCTGGGTGATTGTCGCAATCGACCATTTCTCGCGGTACGCTGAAACTTGCCCTTTGCCTCAAGGTACAATCAGAGAAATTGCCACGTTTCTTCTTTCTCGGGTCATTTTACGGCATGGCCCACCTCGCCAGCTGATCAGCGATCGTGGTCGTGCTTTCCTCTCTCAGGTTCTTCAAGATCTTTTGCATGTTTTAGGCACTGTGCACATGCCTACGACTGCGTACCACCCTCAAACAAATGGCATGGTCGAACGATTCAATTATACACTTGCAGATATGCTGTCTATGTATGTCCAGGCCGACCAACGCAACTGGGACGCAGTGCTCCCATTTGTAACGTACGCTTATAACACTGCAGTTCACGACACACACAGCTATTCTCCTTTTTTTTCTTCTTTATAACCGTTTCCCAGTATCCCAGCTAGACACACTTTTTCCTTCCCGCTACAATGTCACCCAGCTCTCCCCCAACGTTGCAGAGATGATCTGTCGAGCGGAGGAAGCACGCCAACTTACACGTGAACATACCCGCGCCTCGCAGCAAAGGCAATCCCTGCAGTACAACGCCACCCATCGGCCTGCAAGGTAATCTGCCGGCGACTTAGTTTGGATTTGGCTGCCAACTAGACAACTAAGCAAACCAACCAAGCTGCTTCATCGATATGCTCCCGCAACCCCTCCATGATCGCCGTCGAACCTCAACAGACATTGTTCACGTCAGCCGCATCAAACCGTACCATCCCCCATCCCCCTCAATGCCTGCACCTTTCGGTGGGGACGACCTACGCTTCTCCCCGGGAAATTTCTACGAGGAAGAAGACGACGGGCTGTCTCGGCGCCACGGGCACGAGCGAGGGGCTCGCGCCGGTGGCGGTCAGTTTGGAATTAAAAAGCCAAACCACAAACGGACGCCTCCTTGCTTGGTCCCAGAACAACGCAGCAATAATAATGTTTTATTTTTCATAGCGGGTACATATATATGTATCATTTAACTGAAGCATTGCAAAATGTATCATGTAATTGGCATTTCAGTTAAACTGTTGAAAGACTCCCGGTTGGTCTAACTTGATTATAATTTGTTTCTTGCGGCGAGCAAAGGGGCCACTTTTTGCTGCTCCAATACACTGTTTTGACTGCTCCAAAGGTCACGTTTACTGCTCCAATACACTGTTTGGGCTGCTCCAAAGGCCACTTTGGCTGCTCCAACACACTGTTGCGGCTGCTCCGAAAGGTGCTCCAAAACGGCTTACGCCACTCACATCACTGCCCTAGTCGTAAACTTCCGAGAAAGGAAATCAAAATCAAAAGTGTTGAACCGCACAGATCAGGATGAATCTGTTGCAGCATTGCTCTAGGAACAGTGCTACTCAAGTTAATCTCCTCTGGCTGCAAAGGAATTAAGGAACACTGAAAGCTGAGATGCCCAATTTGGCACCTGTCCTTGTTTGGGTATTTTCTTTGTGAAAATTGACATTGAAAAGCGACTGGAACCAGCATGTAACCCCAATCACTAAAATTAGCTGGCGATTTTTCTCAAACTAGATTTAGAGGATTTTGTCGACGCAACCTCCGGTATCCTTGCGTGCGTTCTACTTACGAGAATTTTGCCAGGCATGACCAAAACAGGTTGCAAAGTTTTTCACCATCTGTTGTCAGACTAAACCTCTGCTAAAGCCTCAAAGAGGTTACAGTATCAAATATATAATAATAAAAAGCCTCTTCACTCATGTCAAAGAAAGTTTAAAAAAAAAATATGTTGTACCTGGGGTTTGTGCTTTCTCACATCTAATTTCTTGACCTTGGTTCAAATGTAGTGCTTGAAATGTGCCTCCAACTGGTGTGCTTATCGTGTCCTTATTTGTGGTCCCTCGATTTCTACCCGATGGCATTACACGTGTGTCATGCCGTTGCCATTCAGGATTCTTAGTAGAGCGCAGGTTTGTGTATTTCGCATTGGAAATTTGGGAAGGAGGTATAAATGATTTCTTGCCGTGATCCTGGTGCTAGCATAGCAGCGGTGGTGTAGGCAGCAGACGCTTTTTTTAGCTGCAGCCTGTTCTGCAGCCAGATGGTCGAGGGAAACTGACGAGGACAAGAAATGGGATGCTGTGACGATGGCAGCCCTCACTTTTGCTCGCCCCTTTTTGCCAGCATTTCTACGACCACCCACCGTGATTGCGACGTCGGACGGCGCGACGCGCCGGCTCGTGCAAAGTTACTTGTTGCTACTTCGGGCCCACCTTCGACGTATGGGGGCTGTTGGGTGGTAAGCACACCAGTCGAAGGCGTGTGGCTCAGGCAGGCAGACAGACTAACTAAGAGAGCTAAGTTTGTTTGTACAGAATGAGGTTCCCACATTGACTTGGGCATTGGTCTGTTCCTCAGAACGTGGACGAGCTGCTGGAACGACTCTGGGCCTCGGAGAAGCGTGCCAGGGAAATGGAAAGCTGTGTCAACAGGCTGAACCTTCAGCTCACAAAGAAGGTGCTTGAGCTGAACGAACTGCAGCTCCAGTATTCTGAACAGGCAAAGGTAACTGCCTTCTTTTTTTTATCATTAGATGAGGGGGCACGGTAAAGATCAGTTAAGCTGAAGGTTGTCGGTGTTTTTCTTACCTAAAAACTCTGCTTTGTCAAGCCCACTCTGTGGCTCGCTACATTCGCAGCTGTGTCCGATAACTGCCTTAAGGTTCTCATGGGGGGGGGGGGGGGGGATAAGCAGCAACACAGCAAGTTTGTGAAAGACGTGTTTATTGACTCGATACGCCAACACGCTTTGCTCTCGTTAAAGTCTGCAGTGTCGACGCTGCCTCAATGCAATGGGATCACAGGTCGGACATTGCTCTGCTAAAATGGTCAGATTCACAGGAAGGGGGAGGGCCACAGAAAGAATGCAGGGCACTACGCAGCAAAGCCTCTCCTGGCAAGCTTTCCCAGCTAGTGTTTTGGGCCAGTTATGTAACCTGTGGAAACGGATGCATCCCTAACTAGCTAGGCCTAGTTAGGGATACAAGGAACACAAGGCTTCTACAAGGCTGATTATATTGGCTGTTCCACCTCGTTGGGTGTGAATTAATAAGATGAGGGTACCACGGCGTAGAGTGTCGCAGCAAACTATTGGTAATGCTGTGTGTATCGGTTGTCTCTTTGTATGTGCCCATGTTGAAACGAAAGTTTAGTCCAGGAACTAGTAATCATAATACATTATAGTCGGTTACAAGTCAAGAAGGTAGCGGCAAAAGCCCCTCAAAGGGAATCTTGTATTCCTCCGCCACCAATCGCATCCCGTTGTTTCCGTGACGTCACGACCTGCCTGAACCAATCTTGTTCTGGCAAATGAATATTTTCAACATGGCTGCCGGGCAGATTTTCTACGACTCGAGTATCTTGCAGCAATTATTCTGTTTTTAATGCGGTTTTTCACTTACCCGAGCATACGTCGCTAAGTCGTAACCGCGTCCACTTTTATTCGCAATAGGTTCTGCGCGACAGCGTGAGAATCCAGCGATAGCATTGCCATCGAAAATTTCGGTGCGGGAGTAAGGCCTAGCATCGTACATACGTCGAACGCCATCTGCTTCTGTGCCTCGGGTTGCGCCTCAACATCGTGAAGGCATCGGCTTTTCTTCGCTGTGGTTTCCGTGGAGCGACGTTAAAATGCAGCGGTCACCAAACTCTTCTTTATAAGTGTAGTGGGCTGTGCGGGAGGGGCATAAGTGAACCGCGAACACAGTAAGTGTCTTTACCCAATTTCGACCGTACCTTTGCTGGCGTTAATAAATAGTCTGTCTACTGAAATGACGCTTTCGAAGCAGTATGCATTCATCTGTGAAACGTGGCGTCCTTGTCAAGTTTCCGCGTCGCAATCGGCTGCACGGTAATCTATGAGTGCGATAGTACCACCCGCGGGTACACCCTCGTTCGCAATAATGAGCTGTTACATACAGGTGGCACACAAATGATAAAGCCAGTGATGCGTATGTTACAAACATTTAATTGATATTGTTTTGGACGTTAAGAGGCTGATGTCTTCTTTTGGAAGAAATACCAGAGAATTTGAGGGAAGCAGATTCGGTTCTCTCAAATGCTTCCGAACATTCTGCTTGCTCTCGAGGCGCTGTCAGTCGTATGTTTATGCTTCGAAACCCGGGTACGTGACGCCTGTACCGCCACTCGCTTTGCGTCGCGGCCTGAGGTATTACCGGTAAACACGCACCAATTTTTCCAATTTACTTAAGAAGGAAAATGTGTCCACAATACTGGATCGCAGCGTTGGTTTAATAATTTGTAAAAGATGAAAAATGTGGTCAATAAAAATTGATTGTAAGGGCAGTTTCCTGCTTCATGAATTGTGGCTTTCTTATATGCGAAATATTTGTTTAAATCAAGAATTGAAAACATACCGAATACTCTTGATCTTGGTCCGAATGCAGGTGGCAGAATGATTTGTCTTTATAACAATAAAATCAACAATGTTTGAATCAAGCAACAGCTCAAACCGCCTAATTGCATTTCTGATGTATGTTTATCTCTGGATCATACCAGGCCGTAGCCGCGAACGAGCTCTTCAGAATCTGCCATCGTCTTTCTGGTCTACCTTGGCAAAGACAGACTCGTGTAAAAACATTGAGCTTCTTGGAGGCAACCTTGCAGTCCTCATTGTCAGAGCCTCCATGGAACCATTGGAAAGAAGGGTCCCTGTCGTTTCATCGACACGTTTCATCAACTTTTTACGACTCGTTTCAATGATACTGCCACACTGTGCTGTGAAGTTTCATCGACACAAAAATTTCACGCTGTAGGAACATTTTGTTGTGCGTTTATCACTGAAGCACATATTAAACTATCCGACCGACCCAGTTCACGACTATTTGCGGTTACAGTCTCCAGCAGTTCATTACAAAAATGTGGACCCACCCAGCCCACCCGTACATGCCGCTTCGCAGCAGCGTGTAAGGGTGGTCCTACCCCCTGCATGTACCCGTACCCTTGCTCACCAACTAAGCAGCGCACCCCTAACCAAACCAAGATCTTGTCGACGAAACATAGCAAGATATGTCGATGAGCGAGTGTCGATGAAACAATCTGTTGATAAAGCGTCGCAGCGTTGAAACAAACTGTCGGTGAAATGTCATTTGATGAAATGAGTGGCAGCGAAAAAAAAGCCTGTTCCCGAGCCGTGTTACTTAAACACTATCGCAGGCATCATTTTTAGATACTCATTGCCAGAACAAATGCACTCTAAACGAAGAAGAAAATGAATTTCGCGCCCCTCTGCTGTTAAAGTTCACGACCCGGAATTGGATAAGGGGCCATAAGGCAAATTTGATATGGTTCTGGACTGGACAAGACAACCTTTCGGTACTTCACAACTCTGCCCTTGGCAACAAGTCTGGCTGCAATCTGTACATTGTGGTTCTTATCAGCTTTGAAAACGTTAGATTTAATCCTGTACATTGCACTAGTCCGGGAGGCTCAAAACTGAGGTCTCTATGGAAGACCGCTTCACTTCACAGCGTTTCTGAAGACGGACAATATCAAGCTTGAGCTAGGCCCAGTTACTGGCATTGGCATTCCCCAGATCTCCGTCCTCTCACCAATCCTTCATCAATGTTGTAGCCGACGTTTTCTCATGTCAAGCAATTAGTGCCGTTTTTACCATATATTTCAAGCGAGTACAATGGCGCCTCTTAAATTCAGGAAATCTATGCTGCACTACTTCAGACCGCACTTCGGCGCACAGGGCAGCCTGCTCCTCATCCACCACGAGGTGTTGGCCAACTCGCCAAAGTGCGACCCAAGAGTCATAATGGCCGTCGACTTCAAGGGAACTTTCGACGCGTCTACTCAGCTTCGAAACGAAGCACTAGCACTCGCATTTTGCTCTCCACTGTGCTAACACAAGGTATTGTTATTCCCAGGGTGGCCTCAGTCGTGTGGATGGCCACAGACGTCCTGTTTATGTTTTGAAACGAGATCATTAGCAGTTAGAGTTAGCTGCACACAGTGCTGACAGACGTTATTGTTATTCTCAGAGTGGCCTCGGTCGTGTGGATGGCCACCGACGTCCAGTTTATGCTTCGAAACAGGTCATTGGCAGTTAGAGTTAGCTGCCAGCAGCGCTGATGCACGTTATTGTTATTCTCAGAGTGGCCTCGGTCGTGTGGATAGCCACTGACGTCCAGTTTATGCTTCGAAACAGGTCATTGGCAGTTAGAGTTAGCTGCCCGCAGCGCTGATGCACGTTATTGTTATTCTCAGAGTGGCCTCGGACGTGTGGATGGCCACTGACGTCCAGTTTATGCTTCGAAACAGGTCACTGGCAGTTAGAGTTAGCTGCCCGCAGCGCTGATGCACGTTATTGTTATTCTCAGAGTGGCCTCGGACGTGTGGATAGCCACTGACGTCCAGTTTATGCTTCGAAACAGGTCATTGGCAGTTAGAGTTAGCTGCCCGCAGCGCTGATGCACGTTATTGTTATTCTCAGAGTGGCCTCGGACGTGTGGATGGCCACTGGCGTCCAGTTTATGCTTCGAAACAGGTCACTAGCAGTTAGAGTTAGCTGCCCGCAGCGCTGATGCACGTTATTGTTATTCTCAGAGTGGCCTTGGACGTGTGGATGGCCACTGACGTCCAGTTTATGCTTCGAAACAGGTCACTGGCAGGTAGGGTTAGCTGCCCGCAGCGCTGGTGCACGTTATTGTTATTCTCAGAGTGGCCTCAGTCGTGTGGATGGCCACTGACGTCCAGTTTATGCTTCGAAACAGGTCACTGGCAGTTAGAGTTAGCTGCCCGCAGCGCTGATGCACGTTATTGTTATTCTCAGAGTGGCCTCGGTCGTGTGGATGGCCACTGACGTCCATTTTATGCTTCGAAACAGGTCATTGGCAGTTAGAGTTAGCTGCCCGCAGCGCTGATGCACGTTATTGTTATTCTCAGAGTGGCCTCGGACGTGTGGATGGCCACCGACGTCCAGTTTATGCTTCGAAACAGGTCATTAGCAGTTAGAGTTAGCTGCCCGCAGCGCTGATGCACGTCATTGTTATTCTCAGAGTGGCCTCGGTCGTGTGAATGGCCACTGACGTCCAGTTTATGCTTCGAAACAGGTCATTGGCAGTTAGAGTTAGCTCCCCGCAGCGCTGGTGCACGTTATTGTTATTCTCAGAGTGGCCTCGGTCATGTGAATGGCCACTGACGTCCAGTTTATGCTTCGAACAGGTCATTGGCATTAAGAGTTAGCTTCCCACTGTGCTGACTCACATTATTGTTGTTTTCAGAGGGGCCTCGGTCATGTGAATGACCATAGGCGTTCCCTTTAGACTTAGAAACAGAGTACTGGTACTGCGATTTCGCTCTCCACTGTGCTAACACACGGCTTTGTTATTCCCAGAAGCCTCAGTCATGTAAATGGCCACAGACGTCCCATTTATGCTTTAAAGCAGAGCACTGTCAGTGATATGTTGTGTCGTTTTTCTTAGACAAAAAAGAGCTTATTTGCAATCAAAATTCCATTTGCTGCGTAGCAAAGATCTT